CAGATCTATCCAAAATTTAAATGAAACATGATAAGTTGAAGAGGAGGTGCAGGAGCAGAAGCAAAATGCAGAATCCACTTAGGCTTGCCTGGCAAAATATGACACTAAAACATAGAATGAGCAAACACCAGCAAATTGCATTACCTTTTTGGCATGTATTGAGGGTGAAATTGGTAGAGAAATATCTAAAATAGATGAAGAAAACTGGTTCCTTCTGTAAACGAGGGGAAAGAAAATGGATGTTGATCACTACAGTGACATTAAAATAAAATGAAAAAGCTGTATTAGAAAGGTTTAGTTACTTTTAGTGGAATTAAGTAAAGGCATGGAAGAAGTGAAAGTGTTTGCATTATCTGTTCCTGATGATACATGTCCACTGGTCTTTGAAAGAACAGGATGCAGTTACAGCAACTTTCATTTTCATTTGGAGAGGTTGGTGTTGATAGTTAAAATATGAGGAAACTTATGCTTGTCATAATGATCCTTAGCTCTAACACTAGTCTCTGAAAACTCTTGGAACTAATGTTAAAAAGAAAGTTTAAACTTGTTTTTAAAGTAACCTTCAGATACGATAGTAATATGTATTTCTGAAACAATAACTCTAAGTAACTTTTTAAAAGACTGTGGCTGAAAGAAACTCTTGCTATAAAAATAAAACTAAGTTTAGAAGAATGCTAAAGCTGAAAACTGAGCATGCATTAAAGTGAGAAGTTGCTACTAATTTTATACCTCTGCTGTAAAGAAAACACAGTACTTAATGAGTAGCCGTCTTTTCTTTCTATTATATGACTCCAGGTCTTGTTTCTTGTACACTGTTCAAATGCTGGTCTGAAGACAAAGTTCACTTCTTGAGAGAGTTTTCAAAGCACATCTCTCATCAAGTTCAAAAGTAGTCACAGTTGTCAATATGCAGAATTTCTGTAAATTATATCCCATGATTTAAAGTCACGAAACAAGCGATACATAAAATTGGTAAATTTTGAAAATTTGGGGGTTTAATGATTTATTCAGCTTTACGTAAACTGTGGCAGATGCAAGGGTAGAATCCAGTTCAGCATGAGCAGCATACAGCTGTGTTAGTCAGAAGATCACCTTTCCTCTTTCTGTCATCTTCTACCTCATTCGCTGCCCATCTTCTGACTTTGGCAACAACTGAAGCGTTTGGTCCTACGGCGCGCACCAGCCTCCTTCACTATGCGGCTATTGACTCATCCCTAGAGTAGGCCCATGCACTGTCTGGGAGGAAAAAAGTGCGATCATGTGTTTAAAGACTGACAAAGTTGTATCTGCGAAGGAGCCAAGTTTCATGTTGCATGAGCAAACCTAATTCTAACAGTTCTTACCTGCTGGGTACATAACTCTGCAATGGTAATATTCTTTTAATTTGGGGAAGGGGGAGACAACATTATTACTTACTAGGTTTTGTTATGTCTTGCAGAAATACGTTGATGGCCACTGAGTCACTGGCAGGTGACCTTTAGCTGTGCAGACGATTGTGGTTTAACTGAAACAGTATTAGGAATAGGAGTGAGTAATATCACTGGCAGGTTGTCACCCTCTGTAGGGACCAACTAGTGCATGGAGATGAGATGTGCTTTCTCGCTGGGTTCTCTGACAGTAGAAGGTTACTGAGACTTTTCATATATTTAGGTTTTCTTTTCAGGTTACCTTTTTCAGGTGATATTTACAATGCAGCATTCCCAAACAGTGGGGCAGAGCTCCCTGGCTAGGCCTGAGCATATTTCAGGTGGGTGCAATGCCAAGCTAGGCTTAGTGGTGCTCTCATTCACACCCACTTCTTCATCCTTCTTTGGATAAAAAAGCAGTAGGGTGAAGCTGGACCTTCCTTCTGTCTTCTGCCTGCCCTGGCAGTGGATCCTGTTACTTAGTGCTACAGTCTTACTCCTCCAATCCTGAAGATGGTTGAAAGTCTCTACTCTACTACTTCTTGTTCTTCCTCACAGACGTTGGAGGGAAGAGGGAACAAGCAGCACTGACAGCTAGGATGGGTCTCTCTGGGTTGTCCCAGTAATTTGCCTGGGCACATTTACCGCTCTCTGTGTAGCCCTCTCAAGTTGAGATTTCTGGTCCTTGATCTTGATGCCTCACTTGCAGTAGCCCCAGGAAGTTCAGAGTACCTCCAAGTTCCTCATCCCTGTAGTCCAGTGACCACAGCCTCCTTCAGTGTCAGCATGATGCCAGTCACCTAGAGCCCGAGGTGACTGTCTTATCTCAGGCTCTTCATCCCTCTGTCTTTTTGAGCCTTCGTGCCCTCTCAGGGGAAGAGGAGCAGCTATCCTGGAGAGGAGGAGGAGAAGAGAGTGAAGAGATGGCAGGCCAGGGAGAAGAAAAGAAGGAATGGTGAAATGGGAGTAAGGCGCACTCTTCCAACTTGTGGAGATTTTTCATTTGTTCGTTTGTTTGAAACCATTAGTCCAGTGAACACAGACTCTTCAGCCCATTCCATTGAACCTGCTGGCCTCGTTCCCTCCTGTTCCCTTCAACTCTCCCTGCGTCAGTTCTGTCTTCACTGCTTTTCTTAACCCGCTGTCCTTCTTTCTTTGTTCAGCAAATTTCAGGCCACCTCCTTACACCCTTCTAACTCCTCTGATCTAGCCTCCCTGTGCTTCATGGCACTCATGCTCTCTGATTTCCTCCTTTTCCACTGCTGGTAAACTGGTGAAATTTAAGTGTTCTTTGCGGGGCTGTGCTTCTTGCTTTTTCTCTAAATTCCAGTGTCACCCAAGCAAATTTTAATTCTCTGCCCCAAAGTCTGGTGTTCAAGAGGTATTTTTAAGTGTTTTATGTAAGAACATAAATGATGTATTTTCTGTGACCTCATTCTAGGACATAGCTGAACTGTTTTTGCTGAATTTTCCAGAGAATTTCAGCCTCAGGCATACATATGGCCTGGAAAATTTCAGCCTAAATGCTTGAAGTTTGGCAAAGTTTATACGTACCTGAAAATAGAGCTTTCATAATGGAAAGTGTCAGACTTTTAACTGTAACTATCTCCATTCTAGTTAAGTATTGGATGTGAAACAGAAAATGTTACCCTGAAATTAGTTGAAATTGAATTTGAGTAAACATTGTTGCAGGAATTGAGTCCTAGAAATAATATTGTGAAACAGAAGACGGTAGCAGTAAGCACTGCTGTTGGGCTCCCTAAGAATCTCGTAAAGGAAACTCAAGGCTTGCCTTGAGTAGGAGTTTATATTTTGGAAGAGGAACGCAGCAGGCGATAAATTGAATGAACATTAAAACACAGACTCTAGTTAAAGTATCTTGGCCTGTAGCGGTGATACTTAACTTGTTCCTTGGGATCCTGTAGGAAGGAATCTTTGGTTGGTGTGCTGAACCTATGCATCTGTGGTGTTTTCAGTGAAAAGTTTGCTGAGAGTGCAAAATGTCCTATGAAAAGAATACTGTTGTCAGGGGTCCGGTAGCCTAAAGTGTTTGGAGGACCATTGGTTTGTGGATTTTTGTTTTTTTTTTTTAAGTATGAGATATAAATAGTAAATTACCCAGAGACAGTTAGTGGTGAAAAATAGAAACTTCTAATCTGGCCACAAAAAAGCCAAATAATAAAGGGAAAAAATGCTGACTAATATTGAGCCAAAATTAGAAGCGAGTGTGCAACTCAGTATGGTAGCAAAAAAGGGCAGTGCTCTTCTGAAGTGAGTGGAGGTGTTATGTCATGAAGGAGGTTATAATTTCCACCTACGCAGCTGTAGTATGGCCACATTTGGAATATAATCAGTTTGGGTCACCTTCCAAGCAAATAGGTGTTGCTAAAGGTAGGAGAAGCAAAGCCAGCGAAAACAGTAAGAACGTCTGAGCAATAGGGATGGTGGGGGAAGTGATTTAACTTGTCAGATAGTAACTGCAGCCAAGAAGGAGCTGTGGAAGCCATGTTACATAGGATACCTTAAAATGAGACTAGTGCACAGTATGCCTTAGGAAAACATAAAAATGTGCTATAGGGAGCTGCCCTGCTCCTCAGGGGCAGACTGGTTTGATGAATTAATGGATATTTTTCCTTGGAATAGAGGCAGGGAGATCTCTTTCATTAAGATAAGATTGTTACAGGCTTTTTTAAAGGCCTTGTGTGTGTGTGTGACTATAACTGGCACTCTGGAATTAAAAAATAGATGTCATATTAACATTACAGGGCTGTGTTTGACAAAGTGCAGTATTTTTTCTGGTTCAGTTAGTCCTCAGTAATAAAAGATGAGAGTAATGCCACACAATGGTTGACATCAGTCCTGAAGCTCTTATGGTGCTTGGTAAGTCCTGCCAAAAAATCTAAAAATAAAACTTCCATCTCTTGCCTCCCATCCCCCTCCATCAGTGATTTCAGTTTGGATTTTCTGAGGTCTATTAAGGAGGCAAATAAACTTTCATGTGAAATATGGCTTACGACTTGCTTTATGATCTGGAAACTTATTAACGCACATGATAGTGATATGAAAGCTCTGAAATATGCATTGCACTTCCTGAAAACTTTTCTTTCCACTTTTCCTTTTTTCAAAGTTAAAAACTGGACGTTTTCTCAAGGTTAAAAGGTTTGCCAGTTACTTGTGTCTCTCTCGATAGACATGATTTTATTTGTGTTTATACGTTGAAGTCAGTGTTGCTAATCAGTTTACAACAGTATACTTAATTGTTTCTTAAGTTGAAATTTGTAGGGAAGTTATCAAATCTGCTTTTTTGTAGGTAAGAGGCAACCTCTAAATTTGAGTGCAGGTTTGCTTCTCTCTTCCCCGCCCTCTATAATGGAAGTCCCAAACTCACCTTTCAAATTTAATTTCCTAATTAATATGAGTAGCAGAGTATGGCACTTGGCCTGTTTGTATGTCAAGTCAACATCTGACATGTTCAAAAGAAAGGTAGAACGTGTTGAAGAAAAGCATGTGCAATCTGCTCACAATAAGCATGACTATCTTGACCTCTTTCTTCCAGTATTCCTAAAGCTGTTCTTTGCTTGTGTTTAATAACAGGGCAGTCCAATGGATCCAATGGTCATGAAGAGACCTCAGTTGTATGGAATGGGCAATAACCCTCATTCTCAGACGCAGCAGAGCAGCCCGTACCCCGGGCAGTCGTACGGCCCTCCCGGCCCCCAGCGCTATCCAGTGGGAATGCAGGGCCGGGCCCCGGCAGCCCTGGGAGGAATGCAGTATCCACAGCAACAGGTTTGTGCAGGATTTTTCTGTGTTGCTTTGGCTTCCTTCCTCCTCTTCTCTCTCTTCCCTTCTGACATTGTGGTAATGCAGGGCGCACAAGAAAAAAGTTCGGAGATGAGTATTTCTCTTGCAGAATGAGGGTGAAGGATTATTTTAAAACTAAATATATTATATTGATAGCTTAAACATCTTCTGAAACTTCACACTCTTGAAAAATAGTTTATTTTGTTGCTGGTATCTCTTTGGAGCAAGGAATATATTGAACACCATCAGCTTTTTTTCCCCATGTAGCCTTATTTTTGTGTCGGGGGGGGGGGGGGGCTTGGTTTTTTTTTAATTATTCCACTTCTCTTGCTCTTTCACATAGGTTTAGGTGAGAACCTCAAGCTTACATCAATACAGCAAGACTAGTGTCCATTGTGTACAAATCGGTTACATATTTACCTTAGCTGATATTTTTTCTTCCTTTTAACAAGTGCTTTCGGTAGTTTTTCTATTTTTTTTCCTCCTTACCAGCTCTTTAAATATTTGACTTTTTTTGATTTCAGAGGACGTTAAATACATCAAAGGAGATTCTCATGATTTCACTGTTGATGGTGACCTTTTCTGCCATTTTTCTACCCATGTTCCAATTACCAATGTTCTTAGCCTATATTAAGGAAGATGTAGCACTTTTGTAGCAGGCAGGATTAACCAAGGTTATCTAGGAATTATGTTGGCAAGTTTTTTGCTGGATTGTTCTTATTCAGATTACAAGGGAAATTCTCTACTTTGTCGCAAGTGCAACAGATTAGTAACTTACTAACTAGTGGGAAAGAGCATTTTTGTTTCATGCACCTAACTGGTTGCAGATCAGTTTATTTTTACTTCATTTATTGTTAAACATACAAAAAAAAACCCCAAAAAACAACAACCGAAAATAATGACCTGCCAGACAAATAGGGGTATTTCTGGCTAATTCTAGTACCCATCCACTGGCACAGGAGGTTCATTGAGTGGCTAATTACCAATAACTTCAGATATACTAGTTGGGTGAGTAGTACCATTTGTCATCTGTTTTCATTTTTATTCTTTGTTGACTAGATATTTACTTGTTAGGAAGAGGTCCTTTAGAAATGGCAAAAAATATATTCTCTTGCTAGCTTAAGACAGTAAAGGCTTTTGGCAAAAGTAAAATAGGGTGAAACAGAAAAAAGGCTTTATTTTTTTTCCTGTGTAGTTGTGGCCAAAAGAAAGTTATTAGAACACATTTTTTAATTTTTAAATGAGTTATTCTGTGATATGTGGAGATGAGTGTTGAATTTTCACTTCATTTGCTAATTGCTTGATAATTGTAAATTACCCGTCAGCAGGCAGTGACCTGGCACAGTGATTGGCTGCTGGCCCTATCTGTCTTCTAACAGCATTAATATAATTGGCTGAGCAGCAGTACAGTTCTGAGCACTAATGCTCTTTGGGGAAAAAGTGAGAGGATAATTATGACATTGAATTTTTATTGAACGGACATCACCACCTAGGCATGATTTTGTTTTGGACAGCCTCCAAAGCTTCGCGTGTTTGGTTTGTGAACCTCTAATGATCTGAATCCAGTTCTTTTCATATTGCTCATATATTACCACCTTCTACAAAGGATTAAAATGCAGGAATGCAGGTTTGTAAATTGAATTGCCAACTTACCAGCTGAGTGGTAAGTTGTCTTTGGCACAGGATGCCACAGTTTGATTCCTGGCTGAATTTTTATTCCTGTGACATGAATATTAAATAAGAAGAGCCTAGCTATGCTTGTTAAAATTAGCTGCATAGCATGTACCTACTTCTAGATATAAAATGTATAAAATAAATAATATTGTCAAAAGTTTCAGATGAATCTGAGCACTTTCTGAAAATTGGAATCCTTTACAGTGTGACAATGAATTAATCAAAAGCATGAAGCACTTCCGAGAACTTGATTGGTTCAGAAATACTGGGCCTTAAATATATACGTTGTTCAGATTTAAGTGTTGCGCAGAGAGGATTGGGTAGATGGATTATGAGGGTGGAAGTGTCACACTGTAGGAAGGGAGGGAAACATGTATGAGGGAGGTTGTTCTTATTTTAAGTTATAGTCTGCTGTTGCCCAGAGATAGCTGAGGGTGTCAGTTCTGTTTCCTTGGATGAAATGAGCAGGCTTTTTGTTAGGCTGTAAGGATTTTAGAATTTTGAGGAAGACCTTGAAATGTGAGTCTGGCTCTTTGTCAGCGACTGTCGTGGCTTGAGGTTAGAACTATGGGACTTGACAGATTTTGACTTGCAGGCTCTGCTGCTGGATCCTGCAAATGAAGAAATAAAGATGAAAAATAACACTCTACAGAACCAAGTAAATTAATGGAGGTGATAGAAATGAAGATAATTGCTGCAACATGACATAGAACAGCTACCCATATCTAAACTGTGAATAATGTATTCCTGTTGGATTCCATGTATTCCAGCCTGCAGTCCAGAGGTGTAGGACCTCTGAAGAAGGGAGGCCTCTGATGTAAGCAGTATAAGATTAAACAGAATGAAAAAGGATGTAAATGTTACCAGGCGCGGTCATCCTGCACGTTTGCTCTGTGTGTGTCAAACATTGTTCGCCAACCAGTTGAAAAGGAATTATATCTATGTAATGCTGCAGGCATTCTCTCACAATAGCCGTTTGTCCTGGGCATGCTTGGTATCAAATAGGAAGGTGGAAATAAAACCCTAACTTTTTTTGTAATTCTGCATGGAAATTGCAAGATGTTTGTATGCTGAAGAGTGCATGGGACATGTTCTATGAAATGGGTACGAAGGACGCTAGGAAGAGAGAGACCAGATCTTCTAAGCAGTTGAACAAGAAATCTCCTAGGAGTTAATAAATGTCGAGCCCAGAACAAAACACTAGGCCCTTTATAAGGAGCAAAATTTGAAAGGGAGATAATCTTTCTGCATCACTCACTAGTATAACCAAAGCTAAAAGTTTCGAGGTACATAGGTGAACATGTAAGGAAGAGAGGTAAAACTATGATGAAACTGATGATAACCTGAGTTCTCTTTTTTTTCTCTGACATTTGACAGTGAAGATCCAGAATTCTCATGCAAAGATGCATTATAGCTTGTTGCATCAAAAAGCTAAGCGATTGTTGAAGAAAATGAGCTGCAGCATTTTGTCAGATTTTAAGGGCATGTCCAGTTAACTCAGCATGAGTCAAGTAAATATTTGAAGTAATTTGGCTGATTTTGGTCAAATTGTCTAAATGGACTAGAAGATTATAAATCAAATGGCTTGGTAAGTGTACCTGTATAAAAGGGCAAGTATAAGAAAGGAAGATAGTACTAGAAGAGTCATGTACTTTATTTATAGGATTGCCGACTTGACAATTTGTGCCTCTTTTGGCAGAAGGCTCTAGTATGTGTACTCAATGAATTACAAAGAGGTTTTTTAATAGTTTTTTGTTAAGAAGCTCTTTGTTTTCTTTCTTCTTTTTCCCCTTTCATTTCAGTGGGAGGAAAGGGGAAGGAGGCAAGGGAAAACTGGGGGCAAGTTCACCGGTGTTGAGGTTGTCAGTTTTTGGTGTGATTGGAACACAAGGTGCAACAAGTGTAGTGTCTGCATGCCGACGTTTTAAAATGCAGGTCTTGCATATGAGTCTTCATGCTGCTATCTCATGCGCTCTCTCTCCTGTTTTGCACAAGCAAATGTAATTTTAGGATTATTGGCACCCCTTAGCTGGGGCTTCAGAGAGGATTACAGAATATATGTAAAAACAGAAAACCTAAAAGCAAAATTTCAGGTTTAACTTTCACTTTCTAATCTCTCAGATATTTCTTGAAATTACAAAACTAAGCAACCCTGCGTATAGGGCTTCTGAGCATCTGCAAACTTCAGGCGTGGTTATTCAATACATTTATAGGAGATTTTTTTTTTTTTCATCAGTGAGGGTGCTTTAAGCAGTTTCCCTGTTTGGTTTTGATGTCCTTGCAAAGTGCTTCTGTGTTCAGCGCTGTGTGCTATGTAGGAAAGTGTTTTAATTGCTAATACTAAAAATATGCAAGATTTTCTATTAAAAGGTTTTTCTGCATTTGGCTGATGGTTATTTTTTCATATTAATAGCATATAATATTTTATTTTGTGCTGAATTTTGTTAAGCTTAAAAATTAGCTCCTTGAAATAAGTGCATGTAGGTTTTGGAAGTTTTCAGCAAAATCTGAAGGCTTGGTTTTGTGGATATGTTTGGAAGAATTGAATGCTATGATGTGCCTTTTTAATCAGATGATTACTGCCTCTCTTTTTTTTTTTTTTGATGCATTAAAATTCTTATGTACTGGAACAACATCTTATTGTGTAAATAGGATCATGTTCCTATAATGCATAATAAATTCTTTACACGAGATAGTCATATGGATATGTGCCATAGCCATTCTTAGCTATTTAAAACCAATATTTCAGTACTTCTCATTTCACTACCAGTCATGCAATTAAGTTAGTGCAGACAGGATCACAGCACTAAGATGGTTATGAGGCTTGAGCCTCTGTCTGTTATTTCTCTCCTTTTTTATATATAAATACTATAAAATGAAAGTGTGCTACTCACATGTCCATTTTTAATATTCTTGATTTGCGGAGTGCAAAAAAGAACCTTGTCAGCATCCTTATAGTTTAAAGAGTGAAATTGTAGATATTCAGTGAGACGCATTTTGTTTTCAGTAAGGACTTTTTTGAGGATTACGCAAGGAAATTATTCTTGAGGTCTTATGTGACAGGTTTCAACTTAGAGTAATTTTTTTCTTTTTTTGTTCTTTTAAGGTGCAGGGAAGTTATAAAACCTTTGGGAATGTGCAGCAATGATTTATTGTAATGGAAACTGCAAGTCAACCAGAACTATAGCAGCATCAATGTGATTACCTCATTTAGGAAAGGGTTTACAGCACTCATATTGGGTAGTGTCCCAGATTGGAAATGTCGAATTTACGCCAAGGAAATCAATTGGCTGTTGGCTTGGCAGGTAGAA